GGGCATAATATGGGGTTCATTATTATTTGGTTATATTTTAGTAATCAAATAAAATTGGTGAAGTTTCTTCCAATTGATCAATTTATCTTGGTAATTTTATGAAATTGTATGTATATTTCTAATTTCTCCCTCTTTTCGGATGCATCATGAGACCAAAATCTTTAACCAAGTTATGTATTGCAGGTATGAGAAAGTGTAACTAGAAAATTCTTGGCGATTTTATACATCAACAAACATATACCATTATATCCATTAAAAGATCTAATTTTTAGAGTCAAATTCGATATAATTGTTAGATCTACCGTGAATGCAAGATACATTAGGACTTAATTTCCCCCAACCCCACAAGAACAAACTGATTTGTTCATATTTGAAAATGTTGTTGAATTGTCACTCACCACGAATCAAAAAATAAATCTGGTTGTAGCCATTTGCTTCTGAATTGTAGCTTTCTTTTGCCAATGTACAAAATCTTAGCTTAGTTGTGCGCTAATTAAACACGTTTGGTGGAGGTACCCTACTAATAACTGTGGATGAAAGACTAGTACCACCCTTTCTTAGGTACCCAAAATATCCACACTATCTTCTTATTTATTACTGGGGTCTTATAACTTCATTAACATTTTGGAGTAGAAATATCTATACATTTAAGAACTTCCATTCTGGATAAATTTACCGTTTCCCACACTTGTACTCGACATTACATAAAGGCAACGATTTATTATTCGTTAATGTGAATCGTGGCTTCAACTGTGTGAACACATGCATAGTTTGACTTGAAACCTATATTACACAATCACTTGACCTATTGATGGTCGTGCACAAATCAACAGTTGTGTTGGGTTTTGATACCCAATGAATCACGAACCATGATATAAATATTGGATTAAATTATTACAAACAACAAAGTCTAAAAGCTCAATCCGAAAACAACGTGAGCTGTTGTAAAAAACAATTAATATNGTTTTGATACCCAATGAATCCCGGACGATGATATAAATATTGGATTAAATTATTACCAACAACAAAGTCTAAAAGCTCAATCCGAAAACAACGTGAGCTGTTGGAAGAAACAATTAATGTTAGGGAACCATACAGAAATCATGTTTTTAGTATACACCATTTCAAACTTAAGGATAGATATTTTAAATTTCAAAAATCAGGTTTTCATTAAGATTTATTTATGATTTAATTAATTAATTATATATTTAATTAAGAAATATATAAAGGTCACAGATCTATACAAT